GTCGACCCACTTAATCTATATTAGATTCTAATGATGTTTACAAAGACAGAAATGCCCTTACTTAAGTGTGGGGCAGAGTAACTCTAATAACACTGCCACATAAGCAAGTTACTTAATAAACAGAAGAAGACTAAACTACCCCTATTCGGCACATCTTACCATACTCCAATCTCCCAAACTTCTCCTTATTCCACTCCTCGATCTCCTTTTTCAACAAGTGGAGCTTCTTTAGGAACTTTTGGCCTTCCCACATTGTGGGTGCGACCAAACTATTCCACCAAACCTTCCTTAGGAATTGAATGGAGTTGGGCCATTGGTGTCTCCGGAAGCGTGTCGTTAACCATTTTGGAACACCAGTTTCAATATTTATAAATTTACCGATTCTCAAAACAACTACAAACGCAGTTAATGGTGAGAAAGGGGTTCTATCCACAGGGAAGCGAGGGAAAAATCACTACGTACTTTAATTCGGACAAAATAACACGATGGGAAGTTGTAGAAACACAACTTTAATTAATTAAATTGGAACCCATTAAAATAAAATTCTAACAATTCTGAAAGCGAAAAGTGCAGAAAAATAAATAAATAACAAAAATAAATAAATAAAAGAAACTAAATGAAAAGTCTGCAACTCGGTCGGAGGTAGTAGTCTCCGAAAAATAAATAAATAACAGAAATAAATTAAATTGGAACCCATTAAAATAAAATTCTAACAATTCTGAAAGCGAAAAGTGCAGAAAAATAAATAAATAACAGAAATAAATAAATAAAAGAAACTAAATGAAAAGTCTGCAACTCGATCAGAGGTAGCAGTCTCCGGATCTCTCCTTTGACCCTCGAACTCCTCGAGCTAGGCCTTCTGTCTTACTTGTCTGAATCCCAGATCTGCAGAAAAGAAAACAAAAAATAAACTAGATAAAAGTAAATTGCAGAAAGGAAGAATAAGACTAGAAATTAAAGAACGGAAGTTAAATCTAAAACGAAAGTAAACTAGTTGGGATCCGAATCCAATCCAGAGGTGGCAGTAGTGGCTAGGTGAACTGCAAGTAGGAACCCCTCCTCTTGCCTGGGCGTTCTCTTCCTCTACCCTTGAACTTCTCAAGATCAGCCTTCCGTCTTACTTGGGGGTAGAATCCAACCCCTTCTCAGGCCCCCTTGGGTCATTTTTTTAGAGAATGGTGGATAAAACTGGGATTAGAGAGAAAGAGGGGGGCGGCAGCTGGGTTTTGGCAAAAATATGGGCGCCCTAGGGTTTAGAATGAAGGGTTAGGATGGTTCTAAGGTGATCCTAAGGCTGAGAAGAGAAGGAGAGGGCGCTCAATATTATGTAGGGCTGAGATTTGGGTGCCCAGAATTGAATGGTGGAGATTAGGGCGCCTAGGGCTGAAAGGTGGAGATTAAAAGGAATGGGTGGCGCCCTAGAGTGAATGGCTGAGATAGAGAGTGGAATAGAGGGCTGAGATCTAGTGGCTAAGGGCTGAATGGTGAGGATTATAAGTTAGGTGGCGCCCTAGGGTTAGAATGCTAAAAAGAGAGTGCCCTAGAATGAATGGTGGAGATTAGAAGGGATGGAAGGTGAGGATTTAGTAGTTAGGGGTGGCTAGGGTTTGTTAGAGATGAAAAGAATGAGTGGAGAGTCACCCTAGGGTTTGCTAGGGAGAGGGGAGTATGCTAATACAGTAGGAGGGGCGCCATTCTGGGTTTAGCAGCTAGGAGGCGCCTTCCTGTGTTCAGTTTTTCACAAAAACACCCCCTCTCTCAGCTGGACTTCACACCAGCTTCCCAAAAACTGCATTTCAGCCATGAAACTTCCCCAGTTTTCCACAAGATTTGCACAAAGACCCTCAGAGGTCACAATATTGAATTTAACTGGGAAAAGGGGACATTTTGTCTATTCTAAGGCCTAAAATACCCCTGAAATGATGGCCTTAAGGCATCAAAATACAGAGTTATCAGCCACCATCACTGGTTCTCTCAAACAAATAGATGGGCCAATGGTCTAAGGTTATTCTAGGTAGATTTCTCCCAACTAACCCTGGCCAATGCTTTTCCCAGTCAGGTGAAACTAAAAACCTATCAAGCTTGGATAGGATAGGGGATGTTTGAAGGTTTGACCAAGTATAATAGGATTGCCCTAGAGGAATATCTCTTAGCTCAAAAGCTTCAATAAAGGAGTTGAACTTTCTCATACTCAATTTAGTTCCTTGCCTAACTCTAGTTGTCTCACTCACAAACCTTACTACATTGAAATCTCCCCCTAAACACCAAGGCCCTCCCCAGACTTAGAACTTTTCAACACCAACCCTTCTTTCTTCCTAGATCTATACCCACTCCTCACATGAGTCCCTTTCCTTTTTACCACCCCTACTCCATCTAAAAGACCTGCCCAATCTCTTTGAAAACTTCTTGAACCTTCCCAAATTCCCTCCCTCTTGAAACTTTTAACTTATCCCACCAATCTCTTCTGCGTAAAACCATTGACTCTTTCTTCTGAAAGTGGATCCCACTCAAGCCCCTCTCATCACAAGAGCCCGCAAGTGTTGGTTCCCCTTCCTCTCTCAAACCAAACTTAGCCAACCCTTCTAATTCTTTATTCCCTTAGTCGCTACCTTCTTTTTGTCCCTCGAATTGAGGCACTTGCGAGCTTTCCCTTTCCTCACCTTAATGCTCCCCTTCCTTCATCGTGTCTCTCCCACCTAGCCCTTTAACTTCCTTGCTCTTTGATACCATTACCTTCCATGTAACCTTCAGCATGAATCACCTCCGTTTTCCTATCATTCAAAATTGCTTTTCTACCCTTTAACTTCCTTAATACTAGCTTCCCCCACTTTCCAAAATACAGTCTTATTGCAAATAAGTTCCTTCTCCACACTAAAGGTCACATCCTCACCTTCAATCATGATTCTTCACTCGTAAATTCTCCAGCAATATGAAACTCCAACAAGTTTGAGATAACAGAAAGGCCCTCCAATTCCACCAAGATTCTTGCCATGCCCACCCTCTCCCAACCTCCCACAATGCTCGCCAATCTCTTTGAAAGCAATTATAGATCGTGCACATAACGGAATACCAACCACCACAATCCAAACCACATGCCTCCTCTTTTCTTTGTGAATTTCTCCTTCCACTGGAAAGCACCAGCTCAACCTGAGATCCCAATTCCTTACCTTCAAATTTTCCAATTCAAGAACCCAATCCACATCTGACCTCTCATAGAACATAAACAGAAATGTCCTTCCTACAAGTCTCCTCACCCTCATCACCTCCTTCCCCCACTCTAACATCCCTCAGACTTCGACCTCTTCCAACTCAACTCCCACAAATCTACCATTGAGACTTGCCTGCAACACCTTCATCCTTTCACTCATCCTCCTGACCTGCCTAACATCAATGTGACACTCCATGGTCCAGAGTGTCACATTGTAACACCTCCTGCAAAAAAAAAAGAAACAAAAAAAAAAAACAAAACTCGTAAGTCGTAACTATGCCAATCGAAGTCAAGTTGTACATTAATATCTACTATATCAAAAATATTCCAAAAAGCCATTCTAAAAGAAGCCGACACATCAACTTTTACAATGTTTTCAAACTTGGGCAAAACCTAATGTCCAATAGAAGTCAAGTTGTGCACAATCATCTAGGCTCCCTTGCTTTTCCATAAAAGATTCATATGTTCCTCTTTCTATAAACCCCAACAGGTTCTGAACAAAATTATAATCCAAGTTTTGTCATTTCACCCACTATCATGAGAAACAGTGAAGTTATTTCTTATGAGTGGGCAGGACTGAATACCATTTCACCTAGATTTTTTTTGGTACTCTGCCATTTCACCCACTCCCAAATGACATCATATTGGTGAGTCGTTGGGTTTTATTAAAGGTTATTAACTTCCTTTTGTCCATCCTAAATAGAAAGAAAAGTAAAGTATCTACCATAATGCTTAAAGCACTTGAAGTTACACCAAAATGAGCATCTTTTGGGAATTTCATAATATGTTATCTATAAGTTGTGGTTCTTTAATCTCTAATTCATCCTATTGCTGTATGTGTGTTATTGGCACAAATGTATGGATGCCTTGACTTTTACAGTTCATTTGTTGAGTCTTCTTAATGTTTGTTCCTCCACCCATAGTTCACATGCTCTGTTTTATATATGCTGTAAATTTGAGATCCACTGATCACTATTTTGTTGTTCTTAAGTTTGTTGAAATCCATGATCATCACATTCTTTCTACTGTGGTTGGTTTCAATTTGCACTCGTTCTACTAATTTTCCACATTTTATTACAATAGGTGATCCTGTGAAGATGGCAATGGCCAATGTTGATGATAGACTTCCTCCTGCACAAACACTAGAACAATTGTCTGGAAATCTTACTGCTTTATTACCACGTCTGTCAGTAAGAATCTGCTTTCTTTGCTTACAATTTCCCTGTCATTGAAGTTCTTGGTTGCGCATGGGCAAGCTTCTTTTTAGTGGTAACGGATCTGCAACTTTATTAATAAAAAATAAGAGATAGTACAATTAAGATGGCATCAAGAAATGCCAAATAAAGGAAAATAAAGAGGGATAGCTCCATCATGTTATACAATATCCCATGATAAAGATTACCAATAAAAGTCCCATTTGGGGGGGGGGGGGCGGGGGAGTAGGGCCTCGATATGAATGTTCTTACTGCCTCTTCCCTTGCAAGCTATCTGCTGAAAGAGTTTTCAGCTCTATGAACTCAACTAAACAAGCTATCTAGTTGGTTGGATAGATCTTTAACTTTCTGAATTTCCATTTAGAAGGCTACCAATCTATGATTACCTGAGATTTGCTTCCACCATTAGGTTGTTGTAATGCAGAGAAAGTGCTATGCATAGCTCCTGCAGTAGAGATAGAAGTTCTGTTCATATGGAATCCCTCTGCTTATTGGCTCCACAAATATGAAAGCATGTCATTGATGGTTCCTGATCCTTGAAAACTCCCCCAAGTCCCGAAGCTCCAGGATTTCCCAGGCTGCACTTATTTTAATTTGATCTGATTTGAAGGTGTGGTTCTTATTGACTACTCCTAAAGGAAGATGAAAGAACATATTCCATTCTCAAATGATGTTATTGGTGAAAGGTTTGAACTCTTCCATGGTTTTGTGTCTTTTGACCAATAAGCCACTCACACTGTAATCAGCTCTACTAAGGCTTCCAGAGTTTTTGTCTTGTTTGAAAAAGTTATTGCATTTCATTCCTCCTAAACTGACCATAAGATCGCATCTTTAGTTCTTGCATCCACCTCCAAAGGAATTACCTTTCTCTCTTGTATATATATATATATATTATCATCATCATCACTATTCATTACTGTTCATCGTCATCACTGTTAATCACTCTTTCTGTTATTCCCCCATATTGGTATCAGAGCCAACATCCCTATCTATCCTTACTTCATCTCTTAATCCCTCTATGCTCTATCTTCCATATTGACCATACAATTGTTAACATCTGAACCTGTCTCTATCTAGCTTAGATCTTTGGACACTAGTAGGTACCCTAGAACCTTTGGCTAGAACCCAAAGACTGTAGCTTCTTCGGAGATATCACTGGGCTAGAACCCCAGTCGGACAGCCTAGACACCTGTCGTTTTTACCAAGGCTAGAACCCTTGAGCCAAGGTTGTTGTCGTGTTGAAGGCCGAAGAGAGTGAAGGCCGTGGAAGTTGACTGACCATATTTGGTGAAGTAAAAGGATAAGATGAAAAGTTATTTAGGACCTCCTCTAGTTCCCCCGAAGACTAGTGAAAATAGTAGTAGAACATCTTTAGCCAAGTCTATGTCTATAAAAAATATGGAAGAAGTAAATTATGATAATATAGAATGTAGAGAACACTGATGTGGGCTCCACAACTACGGTCCCACTGTACTTGTAGGGTAGAAGGTGTTCTAGTCTTCCTAGGGTTAGTTATTGGTTATTTAGTTGTTTCAGTTGTTATTTGTTACTTATTATTTCAGTCTTATTTTGATTTGTTTGTTATGTAAAGACTAAGGGCAGATCTGTCCTTTCCATGTAATGAGCATAACCTATAAATATTAATTAAAGTGGCGGCAGCAGTACATTAAGCTTCTGCTCCTCCTTTCAACTCTTGCGTTCTACTACTT